GGACGGCAGCCGCGCTCCGCCGGCCCCGGTGGGCTTGCAGAGGCCCCGGTCCGGCGGGCAGGCCTCGCTCCCCCGTCCCGCTCCGGCAGAACGCGGCGGGACCGGCGGACAAAGCGGGCGGCCCCGGCCTGGGCGGCCGCGCACACTCCGCGGGCGCGCAGGGGGTCTCCGCTCCGGCCCGCAGGTCCCAGCGCCGCCCGCGCCTCCGGAACATGCAGCCCGGTTATTGCCGTTATTGTTCTTACAAAGGAAAATTAAAAAAAAAAAAAAACACAACACAACACAACAAAACAAACCCAACGAGACAAAATTCGCCCTGAGCACATCAACCGGCGCATTTGAGCTTAAAATGAAAACTTCCGCGTGCGTGAGCGGTAAATGAGGTGGGACTTGGGAGATCCTCCCCAGAAAGCCCACGATGAATCCCAAATTACTTTGTTAGATAATTAGAAAGTGTTGATAATTATTTCTTTCATAATTCAGCGGTGTGACTGTAACAGGAAAATGATCTTGTGAAAGTTCACACGTGCAGATGTATTAGTTACTGATTCATTTGATTAAATGCTAGTCTCAAGTGCTCTGATCCACAGCTGAAGGCGGCCCCATTAGCATAACACTGATGTTTAATTTTCATACGCATAATTAGCCATATATTTAACACTAATAGCAACATGCAGCCTTCCAGCATTAAACAGCCTGGGATTTGATCTGGCCTGGGCTGAACTTTCCCGGTTACACCTAGGCTGTCTAGGGTGCGCAGTTATCACGGCACCACATTTATGTAATCAAGCACATTTTGGCAAAGGGAGAACACCAATAAAAGTGAACGTTCAAAACAAATCGCGGCGCTGATGTTAGAACTATTAGCGCCGACCCGTCTTCCCTCGCCGCCGGCGGCGGGGCCGGGGCACCCCCGGCAGCTTCTCCGCGGCGGAGGCTCCGTCGGGCACCGACGGTCCTTGAAGCCACCGGCTAATGGCAGTGGAAAGCTGGCAAGAGCGAGCCCCTCTGCTCCTGGTCTTTTTTTTTTTTTTTCATTAGTGGCTCTGTCGGTTTTAATTGCCCATTTCCTAACGCCTCTTTTACTTCCTCCCCCCTCCTTTTTTTTTTTTTGTGTGTGTGTGCGTGTGCGGTTGTTGTTGTTGTTTTTGCTCACGAGGCGCAAAGTTCATTTTCACAAAATCGCGGCGGTTCGGGGCAATGGCGGCGCGTCCCCCCACAGACTCCTCCGGCAGCCACCTCTGCCCCCCGGCCGTGTAAGTGACCACCCGAGGCGGGTCTTCGCGCTTGTCCGAGGGTGGGACGGGGCGCCCCGGCGGCTCCGCCACCTTCGGCGGCCTCGGGCCCGGCGGCGGCGGCGGGGAGGGGAGCCTGCTCCGTGCCCTCCGGGTCTGCCACCACCTCCGGCGGTCGGCCGGGCGCAGGCGGTCCCGGGACGGACCACAGTCCCCGCCAAAACCCCGGGGACCGGACTCCGCTCACACCCGTCCTCCGGAGCAGGGCCGCCGCCACCCCCGCCCTCCGATGTCCGTCCCGGGCAGCGCGGTTCGGCGGGCGCGGAGGGGCCACGGCCGCGGGATGCCCCGACTCTGCGCGGGTTGATCGCCCCGTCGGGGCTCTCCTCTCATCGTGCTTGCCCGGCAACACCTCCTGCGTGAGGGGCTGGTGCGAGGCGCTGGCTGTCCCCGCACGGCCGAGGCACCTCGTTAGTCTCGTTCATAATTAGGATTACAAACGTGCGCCATCAATCCCACCGCTCCGCAGCGGCCGGTAAAACCCGCAGTCCCGTCAGAGTTACCGGGGGGACTTCAGAGCAAACAGCGAGCACCAGGAGCTGCCAGCAGCCCCCTTACACCCCTCTGCGGGGGGGTCCCCCGCCCCCCGCCGCCCCGTTCCCGCCTCACCCCACGCCGCGGTCAGCGCGGGACGGCAGAGGACGGGGAAGGAGCCGTTCTCTGCTCCCACCGCCCTCGCTTAGCACCTGCGGTGCCTGCCAGGGGCTCTCGGCCGGCCCAAACCCCTCGGTAGGCGCCCCCGGTGAGCCCACGGGAGGCGCGGGACCCCCAGCGCCCCTGGGAGGGGGCAGCGCTGCCGGGCGGCGGCGTGTTTAGGAACCAAAATATATCCCCCTCCTGGCGGGGGGGGTGGGTGTCCTGCTTTTTGAAAAGATGCTGTTGGAAACTATTAGAGCTGACAGCTCCCTGTACTCGAGTGAAAACAAACAGCGGAGTAAAGCTGTAAGAAAGTGGTTTGTTTCTGCCCTGAACCACTGAGGGAGCCGGTACTGAGCAGCCCCGGCCGCCTCCATGCGCAACCGGCCAGCCCTCGGCACGGGATCGCATCTGACTACAATTAAGGGCAAATTATTGGTACCAAAACCGCACCGCTGCTGCCGCCGCGAGTCTGGGGCATTTTTGGATGTCTCTTGCTTATCTCCAAGGCCACTCCGCATTTCGCAGGACCGGAGCCTCTAAGTACCAAGGCCAGACCCGTCCGGCTCGACGGGGCGGTCGGCAACCAGCTCATTGCAGATCAAACCCTGCACCCCCGGCAGGCCCGGGACAGGACTGCAGCGAGCGGGGGACCCGCAGTTCATGAGGACCATCAGCTCTAAACTCTGGGTAGGAGCCGGGGCTCATCCTCCAGACCGCAAACTCCTCCGTTTCTGTTAAACGCTTAAATTGCAGAGTGCCTCTCCCATAACTAACGTGAGCACCGCAGAGCAGTGATTACCCCAAACCGGCTAATTCTTCAAGCAGTGCAATTATTGATCTCCAGAGAAGCATGCTTCGCATCTCATTTTTAATCACTTTTTGTGCTGTACAAAGAAAAATTAGCCGAGGCAGGAAGGGGGGTGGGGGGGTACCGCTGCTGGGAAGGCTGTGGGGAAAGAGGCTGCTGCCTCTGCCTGCCACCCTCGGGAAACTTTTTTCCACCCAAGTAGAAGTCACAGCCTGGGAAGCAGCACTGTGCTAACCGCAGTGAAGACAACTTGACTCCATAGCTCAGCTATAAAGAGAAAATACTCTGTTCCTCTGTCCTCTCTGCTCCTCAGCTGTACTGAGCCCATGTCATCTGATACGTGCTTGTCCTGCACAGAATTTGGAAGTGAGGGGACCCGCTCTTTGCCCCTCACCCCAAATAACCCAAACCCTTTGCACTTGCAGGCTGTGCACGGCTGCTTCCAGGGTCACAAACAAGCCAAGGGACTTTTATTAAATACTCACCAGGTAACACACAGAAAGAACTATGTCCAGAGCCGACCCCTCAAGCTGCTTTTTCTGTCCCCTACAGCGACTTACACAGCACCCATTCCTCACAGAAATCACAGAAATGTCCTCTCTGTCCCGAGTGAAACTGGAAACGCCAGGAGCACAGCGAGTCCCTCCACTCCTTGTTCCATCTTTAGTCTTCTTCCATCACTTTAGAGAGGATTTCTGCTCCCTCTGAGGTAATCACAATGGTATGTTCAAACTGTGCTGATCTGAAATGCACATTTAGCAGTTAGTTAGTAAGGGGTAAACGAGGCCATCACGCCCGTAAAACTCACCCGTTGTTTTTTTTTTTCGGCTATCAGTGATCAGTTCCACGGCTTAGGAAAGATTAAAAAGCATTACATCAGGCACCTTTTATTGTCTACAGAAACTGCAGTCCATTTGTCCTTCAGAATCTTAAATTCGGGGGATCCTTCCATTATTATTGGCTCTGAAACAAGAAATACAAAATGTTTTCTGAAGTTAGCCACACTCCCGTGCGGACTGTGAGGCAACCAAGAAAGGAGGGGTGTCCCAGCAGGTAGCTCCCCTGCTGCACAGGTCCTGTCTGCCCCGGGCCGGCACTCCCTCGCTACACCAAAATGTGAATTAAAGGGGAAGACGAAATATCAAGGTAGGAAGTTGCCCATTCCTCTTTTGTAAAAGCGGGGAATTTTAATCAAGCTTTAATTAAGACCCCGTGGATAATAACCAAAGCACCAACCACACTTACAAGCAGCAGATAGTTTTAAATATTTGAATTTTTAAAACGGGCTTAAAATGTTCATTAAATCAGCAAAACAACAATTTTCTTATTTCCCTCTAATTGCCGCGCCATTTAGCCACACAGTGAGAAAGAGGGCTTTTCCCCCACCAGCTCGCCATGATTGGTATTTAGCGCGTTGAGGCTGCGGGGCCAGGCTCTGACTGGTTACCGGCGCCGCGGTCCCCAAACCCAACCAGCAGCTCTGGCAGGCAGCAGATGACAGCAGAGCCACCAGGCAGCTCGCTCATCAACCACGGCTCCGGGGGCACAACCGCATCCTTCGCATCCTCCGCAGCCCAAGTGTGCCGCCTGAGTCAAACACGCGTCAAAAACATGCGTCAAATATGTCATTTAACAAGATTTGTAATTAAACATTTTATATTGTATCCTTTGGAAGCTATTTCACGCAATTGGTTCCTTCATGCATTTTTTTTTTCTAAATTATATTTTAATCTGCTTCCTAAGGGGTCACTCTCACTGACATCCCCCTATCTGCACGGATATTTCTATAACCCAATAAAGAAATTGTACGGATCTGGGCTGCTCCGTCTGTTTGTTTGTTTCTTTTTTTTTTTTTTTTTTAAAGAAAACCATAGCAGAGTTACTAACCTATTGTGAACGCCATTCCCTCTTCCATTAACAAATCACTGTCATTGGCTACAAAAGAAAATAAAAAGGCGTTTATAGCTGTTGGGGTTGGTTTGGGGGTTTTTTGTTGTCTTTGTTTTTTTTTTTTTTTTCCCATAGACGCAATCAGCACTTGGTTTAAACCCCGTTTTGCCCCAGGTACCGCGCCCGCCGCTCTGAACCGGAGCCCCCGCTGGGAGCCATCCCACCCCGCCCGCGGCGCGACCGCCCCGACGGCGGCTCCTTCCAGGCCGGCTCCGGGGGCTTTAACGTTTCGGCGGCGATTTTTCTTTGCCCCGCGACAAACTTTGCCGGCGCGGCAAAAAAAAACCACCAACCGGCTGCGGAGGTGCGGGGAGGTGCGGGGAGGTGCGGGGAGGCGGCACACGGCGGCTGCCGCCCGCAGCGGGGCGGGGGAGGCGGTGCCCGGGGCCCGGCTGCCCCGACGGCTCTGTTAAACGCGCGATTTGTCCTCAAAAACACCCGTGCGACTCTCAGAAAGCGTGGCCAGGGCAGAAAGCCCCCACCCCCCCGCCCCGGGCACCCCCTTCGGGACCAGCAGCGTGCGTGGGTGTGGGGGGCTCTGCTCGTTTTACCCGTCCCTCCCTCCCCCAGAGTCCTTTCGTGGCCGGCGGCGGAGCGGGTGGCGGGGGGAGGCGGGTCCGTCCGGCGGGGGCCGCTTACCGTGGTGCCACACCTCGGGGTGCCCGTGGAAGTACGACCCGATGCCGTGGCCGATGAAGGAGGGGCAGACCTGGAAGCCGCCCCGCCGCGCCACCGAGCTGCGGGGCAAAGAGGACAACATGAGGGAGCGCACCCCAACCACCACCTTCGGGGCTCGCCAGCCCCGGCCCCTGCCACCGGGCTGGTAGTGGCACCGGCATCACCCGGCTCCACAAGCTCTCACCCCCACCCCAACGCTGGGTCACCGCTTTGCGCCCTCTCCAAAAGATAGCAGCCACGGGTGCTAGCACCGGTGAGCCATTGATAGGTTTCAGAGTTAACACACCTGCCAGCAGGGCTGGTAGCTCCTGTGCCAGCCCTGCGGTCTAGGCAAGACAGCAGCGTGCTGTCTCCCTGTCTGACGGAGGGCAACCTCCTCTGCAAGCACACTGGGAGCTCATTTGAACACGGAACAGCTCAATGGCAGCCAAGGCACGGCACCAAACTGCGGCCTCTGCCGAGCCCTGCCGAGGCGCAGAGCCCATGCTGGGCCCTGAACCCACTGCCGGCACCAGCTGTCCCGCAGGAGAAGAGGGTCCTGCTGCCCACGGGACAGCAAGTTAAAAGCCCTACTGCTTCCTTTTCAGAATCTTGCAAACATTCAGTACCAAAACGTATTTCGACTCCAGCGAATCTGTTCATGCTAATTAACAACATATTTCTGATAAACCCATTCACCACCGTAGCAAAACCAAATCGTAACAGTTATGGCATCTCAGCTCTGTCTGGGGGATGTGTCCTGTCTCTCACGGCCTGCCTCAGAGAGGAGCGTCTCTCAGAGCTGCTGGCAGGATCCCGGCACCGATCCCTACCCATGTTGGGAAAGCAAAGTCCTATCCCGATCCCTAAAAAACGGAGGACCTGGAGATATGTCAGGTGCTCTCTGGCTGCAGGCTTCACTCTAGGGCTGTGCCCTTACTCAAGTGGCAGAGGCAGCGGTGGAGGGGGTGACTTGTGGCAGCCCAGCCAGGAGAGCTATCAACATCCAAAACAGGAATGTGTGAAGGGCTGGGGGGACCTGAAGATGGATTAGAAGTGAGAAGGAAGCTGCTCCCGCCCCTGCATGTCATCCCCACACTATTTCTAAAAGCAAACAGGAGCAAGACAGGAAGGCACTTAGCCCCAAAAGATTTTGCCTACAACATTAAAAGCTTCACTTGTTTGTTTTAAATCAAAGTAGGCACTCAAAAGCTTCAGGTTTGTCTATATTTACACCCTAACAAATGCTTTCTCAGGCAGAGTTTGCAGGCAGAAAAGTGGGAAAGTTAAGGAACTCCTATAAAAGTGCAAGCTCTCGCAGAAATTAAAGCATGTTAAACCCCATGGGAGACCTGTATTCAGGTATAAAGTGGCCTCAGCTTGCTGTACACAGTAATCCCTTTGCACACCAGGCTTCACTGACCCTGCAGTGCTGGCTGTAGTGCCCGTGGGTCACCGTCTCAGAATTTAATGCCACTGCAATTGAAGAACATGGTGCTCCACCACAGTGAAATGGCAATGAGGGAAGAGAACTGGGGCAGTGGTTAATAATGCTGCAGTGTTCAGACCTTAAGAGTACATTTTAACAGGTTTTGTATACTACCTTTTACCTACACATCACCTTGATACAAAGATTAATCACATTGCTTTCATTAACTCCAGAGAAGAACAGAAATTTCAAGATTAGCTGCCCCCAGGCTCCTAAGTACTGGCAAAGGAGGTTATCGATAAGGCTAGAAGTTGGGCTTCATTTGGTTGTATTCAAAGTCCAGGCTTTTACCGTATACATCATTTACGTGGAAAAAAAAGCATGAAGGTTTATGCAGCAAAAAGTCCTACTAGAGATGGAAAAGACATTCTCCCCTGCCTTTCTATCACGTCACCCATGAGTCAGAGATTCGGCCAGCTGGCTATGATGATGCTGAAAGCCAAGGAAGAAGCACAGGGAATGGCGAGGAGTTAGAAAGCCAGATTACTCAGACACATTCACAAAACGAAACGGAAGATCCCTGATGACCAAGCCCAGAGCAATGCAGATAATGATTCCCATATGGGTGAAGCGGTTCTCTGAAGAGAGATGGGAGAAGCTGTCCATACAACATGTGATCAGCTTTTCTTTTGCTGCCTTCTGCAAGTCTTTTTGGAAAAGCATAAACAATCCCACTGGCTATTCAACTTCGCTGATGTCCTTACACAGCACCCCTGACCACTGAAAGAGCACGGTCATTTTTTGAGATGTTTTGTAATTACTATAGGATTTCCTCCCCCCGCCCCAAAATCCATCTTCTGTATCAAGACAGAAAGCCTTTTCTCTGGGCAGCTACTGTTCTGAGGACCATGGCTATATGCTCTCCTGCGGGCAGGGGAAGCGGGGGCCGAGGAGGGTGGCAGCAGCAGCAGCAGCTGTGTGCTGGGCACTCGTGGGCGCGTGCTGGGGCACACAGGAGCCAGTGTTAAGACAGAATCCCGTCCTTATGCGGTGAAAGAAGTGGTCCTCGTGCATTTCAATGGTGAATGCTGCCACTTTCTTGCCAAACAGCTTGAAAACAACTCTGTTGGCATCAGTACTTCAGTGGTTACTGTCTGTGATCAAAATAGGGAATCTTGGAGCTCGCAGGGCTTTGACATCTGCACTGACAGACGCCCGTGCCCCCCCTCCTGCCCACTTAATAATGTCTACACACAGAGCCTGGGTATTCTTTACATAAAATGTAACGTGGCCAATGAACCTGAAGTGACACAGAGAAAACCTGTGGAGAAAATAAGCTGAAGGTATGAAACTCAGCCACGTTCAATCTGGTTTTAGTATTTGCATGTGCTTCAGAAGCACCTTACGGGGAATTTCACTGCACAACTACTAGGTTTACTTTGGAGTATTTAAAAAATCCTAGTGAGCTCTTACATCCTTATGAAGTTACAGTAAAACACACAGCTTTCATAAAAAACAGAGCTACTAACCCCAGTTACAACTTGCAAAGGCAATCCTGTACTGTACATGTACACGTTGGCTGTAAATGCTGGCGGGGAGGACTTTGAAACAGCTCTGAGAAGAGTGAATTGAACTCTTGATCTTGGTCAGCCTCTCCAGCTTCCAGGACTCCCAGGCTGTGCAATCTGCTTAAAAAATTGGGATGTCATGGAGTGCAGCATTTTTGCCCAAGTTTGCCATTTGCTGCTGATAACAGCTCAATGTTTTAGTCTTGCTGTCTCATTGCCCAGTTCAGGATCTGTCACTGGTGGCCCTTCTTTCCAGCCTTCTCTGGAAGGCAACCTGACAATATTGCAGCCCCAGCTCCATGTGCTGCTCCTTGCAGACAGGCAGCGTGAGATCAGGCAGTCGGAGGAGTCCTGACAGCAAGTGGGAAAGCAGCAAAGGTGGGAGGCAGGAGTCTGAGCTGGGCTGCCTGGCACCTGACAGGGGAAAGGAGAGCTGCAGCACTGGGTGGATATGCCAGTCTGCCAGTTGCCCTCAGCCATGGGGTCTGCCCCAAACAGATCACTTCCAGAGCAAAGGCTGGGGCAGTAGAGCCACTGACAGCATGAAGGTAAAAAAAAAAAAAAAAAAGGGTTCTTTGGATAGTCATTGCTAAAAATATCTCTTGACAACATTCACCACACTTTTTATTCTTCGAGACATGTCGCATGCTTGGGCAGAGGTGAATTGGGTAGGATTAAAAGCATAATCATTTAATGAGCCCAGTACTTGATTCTATGTTTTGCTGCCACGTGTTCCAGCCCAGTGGCTGTGGAGTCAAGAGTACCTGCAGTGCTGCTCCTCTTTTACTGATGGCAAAGCATCTGGCATCGGGATGGACAGGCAACGGCCCAGCTGATAAAGGAACATCACTGAGGGCCAGGCTGTCCACAGGCAGAGCCTCTCGTATAGTGGTATCATGCTTCTGAGAGTGGACAGAAACAGGAGAGCTTGGTGGCAGTTTCCTCCTGAGCATCCTCTTCCCATGTTGCCAGACAACAGCTAATCCTCCAAAAGCAAGGATAAGTGTGGAGACATGCATTGCCGCCCTGCCAGCAGCCCAACAGAGAAATTGCCATGGAGCAGCAACAGGCAGGACCAACTTTCTACAAAGCTCGCCCTGATACTCTGGAGCCTCCCTGAAAGGAGTTCCTGGGGGAATGGGATCAATCCCTCCTGCTAAGAAGCTGAAAAGCAGGTTGAAAGAATTTCCTTATGGGGCTGTCTCTGTGCAGATAGCCTCTAGGAGCATCTACTGGAAAACAGACATCCCAGCTCCAGAGGAAAAAACATCCATTTGGTCTTAGGACTAACTCCCTTTTTCTTTTTTTTTTTGGGGTGGAGGCACATCATCCCAAACCCTGCATTTTCTTTTCTTACTACCAAATTCTGTTACTTTTTCCTCAAGGCAGGTCTGGTCCAGCACTTTTAAGTCATCACCAAAGAAACAAAGTGAAACAAATCCCATTTTCAGTACCGACAGCAACTGCCTCTCTGGGCTCTTGGTGGCACAAGGGAAGAATGTGGCTGATCAGAGGAGATGGCACAGACTGTTCCACGACCCAGGCTGAACGCCCTGGTGAATGATTCCAGCCAGGGAGGCTGCCCCCCCAGTGCCAGCTTCTCTCCCCAGGGATGAAGCTTTACCAACAGTGGTCTTGCAGAGCAGCACGACATCAATGGGCTGAAGTTGCTGAACAAGCCCGTCTTATACTTTCGGGCAGAGAACATGCTTGGGAAACACTGAAACCAGTAACAGACCTAAGATTAATTGTTTTCTTACTTAAGAATCCATATGGATGTGTCTTTTTTTTTTTTCTTTAAATTAGAAATAATCACATATTTCTTTGATACATTTTTAGCAAAATGACCGCTGCATGGCAGGTTTGCTTTTTTCTTTTTTTTTCTTTTTTTTTTTTTTTTAATTCTTGAAAACAGCATCAGCCTAAACTAGATTTGCTCGTGATAAAAATATTAATTTTGAATAGTGCCATATTACCAAATTTGAGAAATTTCAAAATTCTGCTGGAAAAACATTAAAGTATTTTTATCTGAAAGAGTAATCCAAGACTGAGGGAATGCACAAGTTCAGGGATTCCCTATAATGACAATAAATGTTGAGGTATAATTAGTAATATTTTTGAAAGCCAACAATTGTTTTTTGAAAGAAAGGTACATTTTAGTTTCAAACTGGAACACAAATTACTGTATTTTTCTTACAATAGTGCTGAACTTTTATTTGAGGTTCTGTGTTTCTGAAAGCAGACATGATGGATTGAAATAAAAGATAATTTATTGCAATGCTTACTTTCAAGTGCAGAGAGAAGCAGTGTAATTGTAATTTACAGTAGCTGTCAAGGAAAATCTATCACAGATGACATTAAAATGACTTATTTTGCCTGAGCCACTTATTGTTTAAATGTGCATAATCTGATAGAAACAGATTTTTTTTTAAAATCTGCTTTATATTGTTCTAAATTAATATCAAAACATATACTTAGGAGTTAAACATTTTAAACCATTTATTAATACTTTCATTGGTACTATTTTTTCCTAGGAGTTGGAAATTGGTTTATTTAACAATATCACATTTATGTTTTTTAGCTCTCTACACTCACAACACTTCCATGTACCTCAATTCACTGTCTAAAAAGTAGATTTAAAACTAGATTTGTTTCTATCTGAAGGGGAAATGTCAGAAATGGTAGAAGAAAATGGAACACTGGGCCCAATTCTGTTTCCGCTGGATGTGACCAGCAGTTTTGCCACCACCCTCAGTAAGAACAAGTTAGCAAAGACTCCAATTTTTCTAAGCAAAGTAACTCAAGAATCCAGGCACTCTTTTATTCACAACTTGTAGCTGATGGGAGAAGAACTGCTAGCTGAGAAATACCCAGTGCCAGCTATTGAACTTCCATAACAAAGACTATGTTAGAATACTCAACGCAAACTTACCTCTGCGACATAATTATTCACAAATCTACCGTAGAAAGGAAATATTCTGATTATTTGTGCCTGAGATATGTTCAGATTTTACAGAAAATATTGAGGACAGAACCCTAGACACATTTCCATTCTGATGGGCCTAAATGTTTTCAGTTGTAGGCACTCGTTCCCAGGTATTTATGATATCTAACCTTCCTGAAGCTTAAGATTTTGATGTATGTATTATGTACATACGTCTATCTGCTTGCAAATGTCAAATGACAAATAACCAGAAACACACAGCTTCACCAAACCAAGGCGATCTTTCAGCAGAGGCAGTGTTAAAGTAGTTCTAAACAAATCAGCACGTTTAAATCATCTACATGATAAAATCTAGAGAAATAAAGTTAATGACCTGCTATTTCATATGTAGTTTTGAACAGCTACTAGCTTTGATTAATCTGCTATTCAAAGGGGGCGCTGACTATATATTTACACTTTGCAAGTAAACTGACCTCAGTACTAACACAGCAAAAATCCAATGTCACATTCAATCCTGTTCTTTTTCTTCTTCTTTTTTTTTTTTTTTTTTTTTTTTTTTTTTTTTTTTAATACAGCTAGAATTAATGTAGTGAATCTGTAATGAAATGCATTATCCTGCATGGAGATTTATCAGATTTTCCAATTGAATGCCATGCTTTGCTAGCACTAGCTGGAGTTCACCTGCATGTTGGTGTGGCGTGTGGCTCTTTTTTGTAAAGAGTTAAGTTGAACACAAAAAAAGGGAACAAAGGTCAGCACCCAGCCGCCACTTGAATGTGAGATTTTTCTTTTTATTCCCCTTGATGTATACTAGGCTCTGTGTTATTAGTCTTAATGATGGAAAATTGTAGTGTTGATACAAATCTTTTTTTCAAAGTAGTAGGCGGGAGCTCCATTTGTTAGTAAGTTTTTTTGTGACTAAAAGCCACGGACAGTACATTTATGTAGCAGTAAAAGGCCTAGATGCTCTTTCCATAGCAGAGCTAATTATTCCTACTGTGACCTTACTGATCTACCCTGTTCCTAGTACATCTCATCTGCACGCCTGTTCCTCTGTGTAGATGGTGTCAGAGAATATGAAAAACCCTATAATGAAACCATTTTCATGATGGAGAAAGGCTACTGGAGTTGCACTTGCTACAAAGAGGCTCAATTATATGAGTAATTGTGATAATTTTCTACATTCATAGCCTTCAATGGGGAAAAAAGAATGAGAGCCACAAAGGAAAATTACTTTAACAAGAAAGTACAGAGAGTAAAAATGGAAGAAGAGACAAAAAGGGGGAAAAAAATAACCAGAAAAAAAGTTTAAAAAATAGATCTGGAGGGAGGAATAGCAAGACAGGGAGAACAACAGAAATGCTCAAAAAGCCTATGTGCAGCTGTGTTGCACAATTAAATTGAATTTTTTTTCTGCAGTTGATGAATGTGACTACTGCAAATGTGCCTCTGTAGTTAGCTATCATTTGTTGTTCCGTGACAGGAAAAGGATAATTACCTCTCAGAGAGAATCAAAGGCTGACATGCCCTTTAGACACAGCCATGAATGCAGAGCTCGATAGAATGCTTGAATAAGAATCCAGTGTTCTGTGCCCCCTTCTACTCAAGAATAAATTTTGTTAAAATGCAAGAGCACCACCAGTAAATTTGTTGAACCCTAGGTGTTCAAAAATATGAGGTGCATCTATCGACTCATCCCATTTGCAAAAATAAAACTACATTTTGAATTCACTTCTATTATATTCATGGACAGTAAGATAGTGAGATATGCATTAAATTTCTTTTCCCAGTAGGGGTCTGATTCAACATTTCCTATGAAAGAACAGAAAGACACTATCCTTTTTCTCCAGGCTAGTTAGCCTATAATTTAAAACTGTCAAAAACACAATTTTATACAAAGTCTTCAATAAAAGCTTCTCAGATATAACCCAAAGAGGTTTTACTAAAGTTTGATTCAGACTCTGTTACAATATTTTTAAAGCTATAAATACATCTAACTGATATTTTGCTGTTCTCTTTTTTCCTTAAAGTATTTGAAGATTTACAAAGAAAAAAAAAAGCAGCATCCTTTCAAGGTGACTAAGCCTTGCCGCTTTTAAGTAATCAGAATGTATTCAGTAGCATGTTGGGACCATTAACAGTCCAGTGAAGTATTGCTTAATGAAATGTATATGATATATGTCTATTTTTTTTTGGCAAACATTTTAAAATAATCCATAGGTACCTTCAAAAAACTAAGCTGTATTTTCATTCCAAACTGCTAGCAGAAGAAAAGCCATGACTGCATTTATGTGAAGGCTAGAAGAGATGCAAAATAGGGAAAAATCTCTGAATGTGAGCTCTTCTTTCCCTGTGACGTTAGCGTGCACTGTTCTTTGTAAGATCAGAAGCTCTTGAGTTAAATATTTTTGTACTTTTTAAACAAAGAAACTTATTTATGTTGACTAATTCCTTTGTAACATTCATTATTGCTATACAATGAAAACAATGGTTTCTAACCTTCTTACATGTTAGACAGATGTGGTGTAGTTTCACATGCAAATAAAAAATAAACAAAACCACACTGCAAATTACATCTGTTAATTTAAATCTACCTTATGAATATCTTTGACTCTTTGTACAGCTATCTTTGTTGACCCTAGTGTAATTCACTTAAAAAAAAAAAATTCTCTTACCCAAGGAACAACATTATAGCTTGGCAGTTCACATACTGATATCAGACTGAAATGATGGTTTTGAATCATAAAACATGTCATCAGCTTTATACCAAACCACCAATAACCTTTGTCCCACTTGCCAGCCCTCCCTTTACTTGTCAATATAAGGCTTACCTGATTGTGTTTCCAATTACAGAGAAGGGAGCCCCTGGTCTGCAAGCTGCAATTGCTTCATCTCTACATTTCCTGGCAACCTCCACTAACTTTTGACCAGATTTATCCACATTGCCCACCAAAAAGGTTTCAGAAGTGTCACCATGGTAGCCATTGTAATACACCTAAACATATGCAGAAATGTAAAGACATTTTCTTGTTTTGCATCCAGAAACAGATCGTCTCCTTAATTAAATCCATTCTTTCTAAGATCGAGCTCTACATTGCAACAGATAGACTACGGCTAAGCTGTATTTGTGAGAATGAGATCGGAAAAGCAAAACATTGCAGAGAAAAAAAAGAAAAAAGGCACAAAAGACTGCAAGGTACACAGGAGTTGACAATTAAAAATTCAAGAAATGCACAAAGCTAGCTGTGCGTATCTGCCCAGCAGCGCACCAGACAATGACATTGCTCAACCACAAGACATGAGGCTAACTGGGCTGTATGTGAGAAGACGGATGGGGGCCATGCGTGGGCTGAAGGGGGCCTTGGGGACTTTGGGTGCCCACCTGGGGCTGGGGACCTGCTGGCACCCCACAGGGGTAGGGCATTGATCCCTGGTGCTGGCCATGGGTGCTGGGAGACATGTCCCTCTGCAGCTAGCATCCCCCAGTGGGGTTTGGAGGTGATGCTGTGACAGCTGGGTGAGAGGAGTACCCTGCTACCAATGTTCAGAGTGATCCCACGGAAAGTATGGGCCAAATCCACCACCAGCCCTTGCATGTTTTCTTTAGCCTCATTTTTAAACTACAATGGGGCATTAACACTGGGTTTTACTACTGATTTCCAGAGTTGAATTTTGAAAGACAATAAATGTACTGTTCTAGCGCCGCAAAGTTTCACAGTGAAAATGCAGCATCCTGTTGAATTAATTATGTTTGCGAGTTGGTTTTTTTTTTTTTTTTTTGACATTTCATAGGTTTTAAACCTCAGCTCTCCAGAAATTCTCTGCCGGGCACATGAAAGCGTGGCTGTGCACTATTGAGCTCAGCCACACTGGGGTTTGTAGCTCTGCAGTATGGCAGGCAGGCACATAATTGTAAGACCAAGCCAAATTTCCTTAGAGAAAGACAAATTATAATGGTGCACAGTTTTGATCTTCTAAAACATTTTTTCTCCCCTGAACTGTGGGCGACTATCCTTCTACGACTAATAACTCACAAAGCTCCAAACACTGAACTTTTGCCACTGGCGAGCTATTTGTGAAAGACAGACTCACATTCTTTTTGGTCAATTCCAAACTCAAAAAAAATAATAAATTGGCTACAGAGAGTTTACCCAAGGCCGGGTTCGTGTTCAGGCTGAGATGTAAAGAAAATGCAGGCAGTTAGGAGCGAGGGGGAGTTTAAAGATAGGTGAGTGCCATGCAAGGGCCCAACTGTGTTGTGACTGCTCTGGCAGAGAGCGGCTGCAATCCCCTGCTCTACACCACCTTCTGCCAGCCCAGAGTGCCCCTAAATCTTTTTTTTTTTCTTTTTTTAAATTTAATGCCCGTTGTGCAGGTTTTAATCTAGCTAGTTCATATTTAAGCTGAACCGGTTCATTTTTAGCTCTAGCAAGTACAACACACAAAACCCCAGCGTTAAACATCATCCTCCTGGAAAAACAAATACAGATTTAAAAGACAGGAGAGCTTAAAAATAATAATAATATTTACTGCAGCCCATCAACTGCAATTACATATTTTTGATGTTAATAAGCTACAACCACAGCAACTGTAACACACTAATTCCTTAAAAGTCAATGAAAGAACCAAGTTGTAAGAAACATTAACCTGGTAATGGCTGGCTGAAAATTGCACTATGCTGAGGATTCGGTCTTGGATAATGCTATTTTTCTACACTAATATACATTTTAAAGGCTACATGATTTAAGCCAATAAAATTTGTATTTCATCCATGAAATTCTACCATCTTAATTGTGCAAAAATGGATTTTTTCTTCAAATAATTTGTACAAAGTGTGAAGTGTTTACATTTAATAACCAGAATATTATTTAATCTTTTTATAGAATCTGTACATAATTATAAACAATTTGTTGTGCAGTATTTATTTCGATTTTTATTCTGTCCACCCATGAAACATCCCAGTTTTGCTTATTAAAAATAAGCTAAAAGATCAATTAGCAATGCTAAAAAGTAATATTTCTTTTCTCAGCTATTTTGGAACTGAGCAATTATCAAACACAGCACAGTTCAGTTTTAAATGATAAAAAAAATCTTACAAAGGTAATCAGCAATTCCCATACTTGCAGGAACCTTCACATTCACAGATACATCAAGATTTATTTTCTTTTATGAGGGTACACAGAAAACAAATAAAAATACATCTTCGAAAAGACCAGTAACATTTCATCAGATGTTATTTGTAAAGCAGAGTGGACAAGATATGCACACCACGTTAATATAAAAATGTTTTGTTTAGCTTATCACAGAAAGTATCTGTGATATAAATCTACACTTCTTTTAAAATCTAAGCCGTCATTATTATTCTGACAGACAAAACAAAAAAATAAAGTGAACCTTAAGGAGACACAAAGAAATCAGATGTTAAATCCTCAGCTGTTGCAAACTGATTTAGTCTAATAAAATGAGCAAAGACACACCAGTTCACCAAAATAAAAATGTAGGCCAAAAATATACTTTAAAAATGACAGATCACACTGTGCAAACCTGATAGTCAGAATTCTACAATTAGAAAGTACGGAGATGGGGAAGGATTTAGAAAGATTAAAAAAACAAACCAAGCCTAACCCAGTTCTGGATCACACATGAGTGTACCAGGGGAAAAAGGTCACTGACCCTAATTTTGATAGAAAAAATATTTTAGAAAGCTTGAATCTCATGCTCAGAGGTAGGTCTGCTGGAGATTTCTTTGCTTCTGTCAGTATGAAATTTGGGCCCATAGAAAATAGCATCAAATTACCAAGAGTTTCTTTAATGATTAAAAATGCCTGTTTTTATGAGATGTTACTTCCTTGTATGTGACATATTATTGCAAAATAATGGTGGGATTCAAAAGATGTCTGTGTTCATATTAGAAATAAACTACACTTTGGGAAAATAAAAACATGTACAGTAAAAGGAAAAAAAGCTTCTGCAAGTGACAATTTTTTTTTTTTTTCTTTTTTCATAAATGAAACGAGAATTAGGTTTCCAGTTTCTGTACTTTCTTGCTGCTAAGAAAATCCAGGCAGTGTTTATTTAAATAGCTATAATTGACCATTCTCTGGAAATATTAAGTCACGGTTATATCACACTATTTCTGTTTCTGCGCAAAAGGTTCAGGGCTTTTATAGCAGAAATGGAACACAACACTACCTTCGGGGATTTTAATAAATGTAGGGAACACTGCTAGCAAAAGAGTTGCTGTCCAAATAGACTGACATACACAGGCCAATGTAGCCTCTAATGACAGAGTAAGATAATGACAGGCCCCACTCAAAATCAGCAGGAAGAGGAAGATCAATCTTGGCAGAGTGAAGGAAAAATGCTGGCTTTCTTCATGTTAGCTCATCTCATACATATCTATCTTCAGCTGCTGCCCAGTACTGTGGTGCTCTGCATTAACTACACAGTGGATCAATAACAATTACACCTTCTCAAAAACATGACACATAGCAGGATTGGGTTGACATTTCACTTAGGCCAACATTGATCTCAGTGCATCTGATTCCAGTCCTAAATTCAAGTCAGGCCTGGGTCTAGCTGGAATAAACACACAGTTAAAAACAAAAAAGGAAACCAGCTGCTTGTGCCTTGGCTCAGAAGTAAACAGCACATCCATCTGTGCATCCCCCATCTCCAATCCACTATTCTTCCTGTTGCTACTAGTGATTCTAAAGTTGATCAAAGACTATTTTTTATATGAATTACTCACCGTGACATCAATGTTGATAATATCTCCATCCTGAAGAGGTCGACTGAAACATAAACAGAAAAAAAAAATAATAATGGTGACAGACAGTTCCCAACAAAGGGAATATAAGAATAAACACCTAATGGCACATACATAAAAAATCAGGGGGTAGGTATTTTGTGATGGAGGAAGGCAGAGGCAAACAGAATAACCATTTTTAATGTTCAGCTCTCACTACTTAGAGAACAAGTGTAGCTGAATATAAAATAATGAGAAACAACTACCAGAAAAAACGTATCAACACCTGAAAAATCTACCATTATTTTTATTCTTTTTCTCTCACTAGGGTTCATATTTTACTTTGTGAGTAGCTGAATGTATTGAAAATAAAAAAAAAAAAACCAAACCACATAAATTCAAATATATTTATTCTTTACCCTATGCTTATTTTGCTGGAGGAAAAAAAAATCAAACTGCACTGTTGTTTTTTTCCACACACTAAAGGCACTATACTATTTTTTTTTCAAGTGTTTGGACAAACAGGATAATATTTTTTTTTCTGTTTTACATGCATTTCTATAACATCTATCAGCATCATGTGGTAACATGATATGCATCTGCAATACGTTTACATATGACATTTCGTTAAGTCGAAGTATGTTCAGTATTAAACGCAATTTATTAATTTCAGTTTAACATTTTCATTCCCAGTGGTAAAATGTATATTATTGGGGAAATACCTGTCAGGAATACCATGACATACCACGTTGTTTACAGAAGTACAAACAGATTTTGGAAAACCTCCATAGCCCAGAGGTGACGGATAGGCATTCTGTCTGATTATTTCATGATGAACAATGGAATCTATTTCTTCAGTTGTCATGCCAACCTAAAATATCAAACATAACATCCTGTTAAAAAAGCAAAGATAGTTTCTCATATTTACTGAATGTGATTGCAGCCAAGCGTTTCAATGAAATCTTGGATGTTTCAAATATACTACTTTGATACAAACCACTAAACTGTCTGATATACTTTATTGATATATTGGACCTTTTTTTTAAAAAAAAAAAAGAAAAAAAGGGTTTAAATAAAGCATGCAGTAGAAATGAGCACTCAAAGGCTCCTAGAAAACCTAAAATACTCTCTACTTCTTTTCCATTTTTTTTTCCACATTTACTTTCTCAAAGACACCAATTTTCCATGGCATCTTGTTTCAGTAGCTGCTATAGAAATGTCTGGTTTCTGTGCTTTCGGTCCCTTAAAACACAACATTATTTTCCCCTTTTGTTTTTAAAAGAAAGGATCTTAATTCTTGTAACTGCCCAGCACATTTCTCATAATGTACTTGTGCATTTCATGAAATTGTTTTCCAAATATTTAATTTTATAAAACATGTAAATATTCATATCTTCATATCTTGAGGATATTTTATCTAAAGTTTCCATAGCCTGGATGATCACATGAATGAACAAGCGTTTATCCATCATTTGTGGAAATCTCCATTTTTATGCTTGACGTTTTCTAGATCCATCTTTTCTTCACAATTTTACATATTAAAAAAATCTCTCATAAATCATTCAGCCATTTTCTGAGTATCCCTGGAGTGGAAAACGCACATGCTTAAAATAACATTCTTCTCGCTTTTCTTTTGGATTGACTCTGTGTCTGGAACAGTTAGAGCTGAAATTTGAAATTTGGTAGGGAAACCTCCCTCATTGAGAAGAAGTGCCTTTGAGGGTTCCTCTGAAAATTGATTTTGATTTGAATGAGTTTTGAGCCTTTGAAAATCATACTTCGTACACATACACTGCAGTGGCTGTGATTTTGGAGGACTTTTTAGTAACACATGGAATATAGGCAGGCTGTGGCACAGGAAGCGTACTTATCCATATATTGAAATATTCAGTCATCACGCACAGCAAATACAGCGGAGTGCACTTGTGTCCTGTGCTGAGGATAAAACCAGGTCTATTTGCTCAGCTTGCATCTTATTCAGCAGGAAAATGTGGTTGGGCAGATGAGGAGCAATGAACTCTCTCATGACCGGGATTTGGGGTTACTGTGCAGCCTCTGCACTGGGATGGCAGCCGCAGCCCCGGCGCCGTCCGTGTTGGACACCGCAGCCATTGGTTCTGGATAAATACAGGTTTGCTGCTCCTGCCTTTGCTCTCCCATCTATCATCTTCAGCCCATAGACAAACAACTGCTGGGTGCTGTCTGCTGCTGCTCTGCACAAGGAATTGGACGTGGCTTTTGGACACTCGGCAGACAGATCTGTGCTCTTTGCACAGGCTTACACACTGGGAGAAGTTCTGCTTTTAACAGTATCTGCTTTAATTTTAAAGGAGCTTTTGCTAGCTGGGCAAGGTGGGGGAGGCACCTACTGTTCACCTTATCCCTTACTTGGGACGGGACAATCTGATGGTATCCAACAAAATGCTTCCACGTCATAGAACTTGCTGCTTTGTTCCCAAATCTTTAACTCAAACCCAGGAAATTCTATCATATATAATAACATATTGCATTTTTAAGTCTCACAGGAAGTAAAGGGTAATATTAAAACCACGCTCAGTCCAAACTTTGTCTCTCTGCATCTATGCATTATAATGCACCTTTGTTATACCAGGGGATGCTACTGCCATGAGATGAAGCACAGGCGAGAGCTGGTTTGAAAAGCTGTGTTCAAGGCAGGTTTAGCAAGACAACAGGAACAGGTGGAGAGATGGGGCTCTTCAGATAAAATAGGAATGCAGAGTATACCTTATGAGAACAGCCTAAAAGAGCTGGGTTTGTTTAGTCTGGCGCACTGAAAGCGGTAATAGCTCTATTACTGTGTGAAGGGGACAGACTCAAGGAAAGGCAGGAAGCTGTTTAAATTAAAGAGCGGTGTTGGCATAAGAACAAATGAGTGTAAACTGGCCACGAACAGCATCAGGCTGGAAAGCAGAAGACACTCCCTGTCAATGAGGGAGTGTTTTGGAGCATCCTCCCAGTCAGAGGAGTCTTGGGCAGACACTTACTGGTGTAAAATGGAGCTCACCACCCGCGGGCAGCTGACCTGGGTAGCGGTCTCAGCACTGCAACTCCAAATGCCACCTACTTCACAGTTCACAGCTCCTGGTCACCTTATTGCTCCAAAATGTTCATTACGTGTATGTAGTATTTTGCTATTATGTATGATGTGGCACATACTATGAACTGCACCATAAGCTGGGTGCCGTATACATACGTATTTTACACACGATAACAACCAAAGAGTATCAGTGAAAAATGGTTCTCATTCAAAACCCACATTGCACCCTGATCCTTCAGAAACATGTGTGTACCCTTAACTTTACATGAGTAAGCTTTACTGTACTGGGAAATAATTGCACATAAAGAAGTGAAACATGCACGACCCTACGTAAGATTAAAGTTTCAGGCAGATGTGTTATTGCCTACCCCAGCTCCAGAATTAAACCTCTGGGAAAGTATGATGATAGCTGAAAGAAAAACACACGGTAAACTGATAATTTTTTCCCCTTTTAAGTCAATGGCATTGACCTACAGTCCCCATCTATCTCTGCATCTCATAGCTACTCAACCCATTTTACTCTATCCAGTATGCTATTACACGAAATACCAAGGCAAGGCTAAAAAAGCACTCCTTCATCTGCAAAACCTGGTACCAGGCTCCTCCCAGTACATTTTAACTTGGGAGGTATCCCAAAAAGCATACTGTAGAAACATTACTGGAAACTATGAGGCTTTATTATCAATGCACTCTGGAAAATTGTGTGGAATTTGGCAGCTGTTTTTTCCAATGGCAGCTCTACAAGTCGTGCCCCTGCGGGACAGCAAGGGGCTGAAGGATAGACGTGAATGGAGGAGGCAACCCAGCCCTTTGGACCTGCACACATGCAGAGCCAGAAAGCACAATGTACGAGGAAGATGGGCCATGAAATGAAAGGAAAAAATGTAGCATGGCCCTTATGAGAAACTCACATGATTTGGCACAATCCGAACAGAGCGAGATTATAGACAGAAACATACTACACCTGAGCCAGCAACTCGTAAGTATTACATAGGTGGAAAATACAGAAATAATTAAACAGGCATATAATGGACTGAGTCAAAAGTTAATAAATCCTTCTTTTTTCAGGTTTTAACTTAAAGTTGGATGCACATTAAGGGAAAGTTTAAAAAAAACCAAACCAGTAGTAGAAACAAACTCCAAATAAGTGAAAGCATACAAGATATCCAAGCTGTTATGGGACTTCTGTAATTGTTACCTTTAAGCCCTTTCCAGCCAGAAGCAGGACATGACGGGCCAATTGACAAGCCTGACGAAGCCCTTGAATCTGATCTTCATTCTTAATTTCTATGTCGTCTCCCCAGTCTGGTACAATGCCTGTCGTCACATAGTCTGGCTTCTTTATATGCTTGGAGAAAAAGGATTGAAAATGAAGATCAGAAAACTGAGCATGACAATGGGATCATTTTCTCAGATACTGCCTCCTGCTTCATGGCAGCTTGCCCTTTCTGTCGTAGTATCGACCTTCCTAAGCCATCAGGGCAAACCCTCAAGGCTGCCTCAGTATTTCTTCCACTGCCCTTTTGAACTTAACATTGCCTGTTACTACTGACTTATCCAGTCTGTTAGCCTTCCAGTGCTGAAACCCCACGTACTGCAGCCAACTTCCAGCACAGACAGTCACAAGTTTTGAAACTGTGAGACACAGACTTAAAAACTCTTTTTTTTTCTTTTGCAAAGAGGCACATTTTCTACAAAAGGCATCTAAACACTGCAACTGACAGGACAAATATAGAATTAGGCTCAAAAATAGAGCTGATCAAATCCTTAGTTTCTTATTCAGACAAAACTCTTATTAACTTCCACAAGATTGCTTTTGTCTAATAACTTATTTAATTTTGGCTTTAATTTATTTTAATTTAGAGGGGTTTTCTTATTAATCTAGTTCATATGCTATCCCCAACTTGTTCACCTACAACACTATGCAAGTGTATCCCAATTCGCTGTGTCTAGGCAAGTGTAATAAACTTCATTTTTTCCACACATAAAGTTCTCAGCCCTCGTATAGAGGTGAAATTTCATTTCTGATTTTTTAAGACCCACACCAATTTCGTGACACGTGTATAAACACAACAAACTAATAATAACAGTAACATCTTGCACAGAGGTGGAAATGCACGTTGTCTCAGAGGGTCCTGGGCTGTTTCGCTGGCTGGGCAAAGGTCCCTTTAACCTCCACCGCAGCTGGGCTGATTCTCTGCCCCACCAGCCACAGGGCAAGTTTTGCACTGACTTCATGAAATTCAGAATCAAGTTGGCAGGCAGAAAACAAAGTGGGCATTTGGGCTGTACACAGCAAGACCATACAACAGCAGGGTGCGGCAGTAAAGAAGAGTGGGACAACCAGTTAGCTCCAGAGGGACTTTAAATAGGAAGACTATTGTTACTCCTATGGGTATTTCATTTCTACTCTGATAAAAAGTAAAACTATCTTCAGTGGACTTAGATCAACAGAATTCTACTTTCACATTCCATTCAAATTAATGACGTATCAACCCTAAGAACCCTATTGCAGTATTTTGGGACATAACTTAGAAAAAAACCCCACCATTTGCTGGATTAGCAACTCTGTACACAGCAGCACCGTCACTTTCCCCTTGGAGGGCACTTATCTAGTAATTGCTGAGACCCGACTCTGCTGACCTGTAAGATCTGTTAAGGGAGAAGCCCGAAGCAGCATACATAAAAATGTCTATCTATACAGTTTCACGCCAACAGCTTGAAAAAAACATGTTATTTCAATGTGATTTCTGGCATACTCTGTAAAAAGTAATAACGCAACTTTTCAGAGTTGAAGAATTGGACTCATTTTTAGACAGACTGAGAACTCTGATCTGTGAATACAACTTTTCAGTATGACAGTATATTTCTCCCACTTTATCCTAAAAGAAGCATCTGAAAACAGAAAAAAAAAAGGTTTAAAGTTCTACAATTTTTAAACCTTTGAAGATATATACAGCATGTAATTCTATGTTCTCCTGCACACAGAGCTTCCACAGACTCTTAGGTATAAGAGCCCTACCTCCAACAGCCTTATCTAACAGCTTCTTAGTATTTTTGGCCCATGGAAGCACTCTATATGTTGCTTAAGAAATCTATAATAAAATGATAAGTAAAATCTAAAAAAGTGCTAATACACATCCTGAAAAGCACTGTTTAGTAAGGGTACTTTGGTTTTCTTTTGGCTAAAGGAAAGATACTAAACAGTTAATCTGTATGCTATAACTAAACAGGGAAAAAAAAACCAAAAGAAAAAATATGGAAACCAGAAGTGGAACACATGTTAAATCTGCATGAAAAAGTTCATTTTGGCTCTAAAGTAAATAAAAATAAAGTATATGTTGCAAGAAAAAAAAACACTCAGGCACAGTAAAGATGAGTTCAGAATGAGCAGTGGGGTTGTGTGGCAGCTACCGGCAGGTATTGTATGTTCTCTTCCTAAATCTGACATAACCAATTAACAAAACCTTCAGCAAAATATAAGCATTTTTATAATTAGCTTGCTAGAGATTTACAGAGAAAAGGACTGATGAATGATTCCTACTGACTTTTGGTAGGACTGTCTATAATTGTCCAAAAAGAGAATCTGGACCCCAAGTGTTAAGTGTTGACAGATGATTATAATATTCCACGTTTATACTACCATGACAGAACAAGCCCCACGTTTAAACTCCCTAATAACTAGATACGCCACTGTGTTTAACATGGTAGGCAGCGGAAAACTTCTCTCACCAGCACTTCTATTTCAAATGCCAGACCAAGCAACGGGACAGTGATTCAAACCCCCAGCTTGATCACGCCTGCAGTCAAATCCTATATTGACTGAGGAACAGATTAGATAATAAAAATTGCAGTACCTTAGGAACTGGGTGAGCTGGAGAAACCATGGCTGGACAAACTATACTATAAGCAGTATTTCTTTGTCCCTGAAAAAAGAAGCATCTTCGGTGTTGATTGCTTGACTGCCTGTGCAAGTAGATACGACTGCACAAAGAAAAGCAGCCAGTCACAGAACCTGTTAATAGATAAGTTAAAAATGGTTAACATTTTTTTTTCTACTGCCACATTTACAAAATGGAAAGCATGCAAAAAGAAGGGTATGACGTAAAACAAACCACAGAACTCATGTAGTAGCCAAGGGTAGTTCAAATTGTTCAAGAAAGAGCATTAACACTGAGAAGCAATGAGAGAAAAAAAACCTCCCCAAACAATACTTCAAAGCTTTATAAAATACCAGATCTATTTTGATTTGATACGTTAAAAAGTAGCGCGGGTAAATTCCCCAGAGCTTACAGCCAGGAGCGATGCTCTGACTGGCCCCTGCTTGTAGCAATTTGCACGTCTAGAAGCTGCACTGTTCAAGGTTTGGGGAAACAGTGAGTAAGGGACAACAGCAAGAAAAGAGGAGGAAAAAATAATTTAATGTTGATTTCAAACAATATTTTCACCCATATTTTTGCAGAATTGGTCACAGATTTGAGCACAACCAAGTTAATGTTGCTCTTGTCATTCGTGCCAAGACACAAGGAACAGGGTTCCATTTGTGCTGCCTACCAGGGCAACAGAACAAACTTCAAGCTATATTTTTAATCATGGCCTAAGGTAATTGAAGGGATTAAAATTTGTAATTGACTTGGAATATTTGAATCGGATTTCCTTTTAATTCACATGGGAATTTGGAATGACAGTTTGTTAGAGTATGCATTGCCTAAACTTAGTTGTTGGGAAATGATGCATTTTGCTGCCCTCCAAACAAAAAAAAAAAAAAAAAAAAAAAAAAAAAAAAAAAAAAAAAAAAAAAAAAAAAAAAAAAAAAAAAGAAAAAAAAAAGAAAGAAAAAAAAAAGAAAAAAGGGAGAAAAAAGAGGCGGGGGAAGAGTGCACTGAGGCCCTAGGGTTGTCAGAGACATCAAAACCAAAATAATGCATCACAAAAGACAATGTTAGTATAAAAACCTGGAAATATACTAAATTCAAAAGGATTATTGACACTGCCCAATTAAACCACAATTACACATAGTGCATATTTCCATTACTCAAACATTCTACAGTCTCAACAGAGGGGTTTTTTTGAAACATAAGTTTCGCATAACAGTTAATCTGCTTGTGAAAAATGTCATATGTATACAAACACAAAAGCAATCTTTTGTGGCAAGTAACACATACAGATAATTACTCTTTAGTAAAAAGAAAGTGGTTTTGTTTAAACAGAAGTAACTAAACATTTTTATATGACAGAAACTAAGAAATCAATCTACTGCATATTTTGTAACTATGTAAAGATGATTATTTTTTTTTTTAAGAAGAATTTCTTCCATATCTTGTATGTTTTTATTTTGTTGTACCTTCCTTCCTTTCCTTTGGATGCATTTATCATGTCCAGATGCAGAAATTATCCTTCCACATGCACACTTAGCTTCATACACAGCACTTCTGCAGCACTCCATGGTATACAGGAGATTCAAGTCCCACACCTTTTTTGGAGCCCCAAAACCCAAAATGAATGGAATGGAATAGTTGTAGGGGTTTGCTTCAGAAATGTTCCTGGCTGCCTCTTTGCACACTGATCAGTGCTACATTTAGTTACCAGTATCTGAATTTGTGTAACACCTGAGAGGTTGTAGAGACTTTTACTCAATGCAAGCAAATTGTCACCATTATTTAAAATTGTTTATAAGTAATAAGGCAGAGTTGGAGAGTGAGGCTCAGATTAAGCTCTCAGTATAACCTTGGTACCCCAATGGAAGCTGCCTGCTTCAAGTCTCTCCATGGGAAGTGGAGCTGCCCAGTTAACAGATTGGTGGTGTTTCAATTACCATTTAATCAACAACCTCATCATCTACTGCTTTCTTGGGGCTTCCTTCACAAGAAGAAAATCACTGTCCAATTAAAAGAAAAATAAACCTAGGCCATCTAACCTGCACAACATAGAAGTGCATCCAAAGAGACCAAAGCATCCCACAAACTCCCTGGCCGGTTTGCGCCCACTGCTGGAAACAGAATCTGCTGAGGCAGCAACTTTTGGGCCATCAGGAGTAGCAATCAGTCTGCCAGCATAACTAAGGTAGCTCTTTTATAGAGTGCAGTGGAAGCACCTTGCTCTTACCGCAGCTAGAGAGTATTATAATAAATATATCAAAAACCCACACTCACTGATGTGGTCAGATAAAGTCCACGTGGACATCAACACGTGAATGTGTATTTCAGATGATCTCCTTGACGCACGGCATACTGCCCAGGCACCTAGTCTACTGTGTAAAAGTTTAATTGGGGAAGAAAAGGTGCAAGTGTGCTTGTCAATTATTCGACAATAAAACTCCAAATGTCCCAAATACACACTCTTAAATACATTAAACCAGTTTATATTCATGGGTGCATGCCTACCAACTATCCCACATTCAGAAAGGATACCTTTTCATTTGGAATAAAATTTTTACCTCTGTTCTCCCAAAGATACACTGTAAGTGTTGTCACAAGATAACAGGATAATAAGATACTGTAGTCTGTTGTTATTCTACTAACTACTCATTATAAACCAGACGCATACAAAAATATCTACTACTTGAACAGGTGAAATGCAACAACCAAATAAATATCACCATAGTATAATATGACTCCTAAAATACATCACAAGAATTATAAACACAGGCCAACTAAACCTTTATTTGAAATACAAAAAATTATAGCAGAAAACATTCTCCTACAAAGTAAAAATAAAATGAAATAAAATGGCATTAAAATATAATGAAGTTACTGTTTTATAATGAAAATCTGGACTCCATCCACACACTTCCTTCCTTAAGAAGGCCTTCCTAATGTCTCCGCAGCTCCTTTTATTTTTTAAGCTCCCATATTCACAGCTAATTCGATATAGCAACATCATCAATCACCGGAGACAGGAACAACTGGCTGTATTCTCCAAGTCTGGCTCAGATATTCCCTCCTCCCCATCCCTTACACCTATCAAAGCTTCTCTCACTGCCTTATTTACTTCTGCAACACTGGCGCTCAAGCACACCCTTTTTGTTAAGCTCTCCGTGTATATTAATTACTGTAAGAGAGTCCACAAACGCGGGATTTGTGCAGCTTCCAGTGGGAACTGCAGCCGTGGGAGAGAGCCCAGCGTTTGCGGGCGGGCAGCCTGGTCACACACCAGAACACACCAGCACCGCCGGGACGCAAAGTTGACCCTTTTCGCCTTTCTTCTCTCCCCCATGAACAAGGCGGCGTCACTTGCCATGAATAACAGAATATTTACTGCCAGCTGCAATAAGGAGAATTTGTACCAGCGTTACCGAATCGCGCCAGCGGATCCGATGCACCGAGCACAGAAAATGACAGACAACTGCTCCTCTGAGTCGGCCGTGAATCACACTGTGCAATCTGCACGCACGCGTGTCCCGCCGCAGCCGCCGGATTCCTCAGCATACCTTCCAGACCTTAATTTGTATTAATAATATAAATATGCACTGTGAGCTTTGTGAATTACCAGATGAATTTATCTTGTGGGGAAATCACATTTTCTTTTAAACGAGTCAGCCAAAGGGGCTGAATACAGAATTCGAGTATGATGATGGGTGGCAGCATTTTAAGTGACTTATTTTGCAGCACAATGTGCCCTATATTTATTAGCCTTTTACTCTAGGTCTATTTTAATTGTTATCTGTTCATGCATGCTACACTATATAATGAAATGCTCCCATTTCACTCAGAGTAGAGAGTTTTTTATGTGTATCTCTATTAATGACCCTTAATTAAGTTGATTTTAGTCATTTAAATGTGATTTTCCTCTGGTCAAGAAGTATTTTTAAAGGGAGATGTTGGAAATGAACTCTCACATAAGACCTTTTCTAACGCTTCTTGTTTAACAGTTACAGCAATTTGTCAGCTATGTTTTCAATGAATGAGGTGCGGGGTAGCCAGCCAAAACACTACTCATCTACATGATTCATCAAATGGGATTGCTAGCAAATATTTTTTTGGTATTTATTTATGAAAGACTTCAAATTTCCAAGCAATTAGCAAAAATGTTACCAAAATATAAACTTCATGACAGTTCTAAGACACAGAAAATACAACGGTACATCTTCAACAAGCCAAGAAATAAAATTAACACATTTTAAAATAATTTAGTCATAGTATCAACAGAACCACAGTGCCAAAATTATTTAGGACTACAAGGGTGAACATCCAACCCATTCAGGAAATAAAATAATCTTCCTCTTGATAAAGTAAATTTTACTTAATATACATATATATGAACAATTAACAATATAAAAAGCACTGTTCTGATAATTCTTTTCAAAATAAGTGATTTAAACTCTTCTTTTAAACTGAAACAAAAGAATGACTGGAGATTTTCTTAGTATATAAGCATTTGAGGATAAAACACTAGAGATCTTTAATTTGGCTTGTCAGGTCACTTTAATATTATATCATCATTTTGCTTCTTGTGCAAATATACATTTTGTTGAAACTTCAGAGGAATCAAGTTTCAAGTGGGGTATTAAAAATCACAACGGGTAATAATATGCAGAATCCAACCGATGTAACTAGGTAAGAATATATAGCTTTGTACTGTTAATCACCAAATGTTCCCATTTTTCAATCCGAAATAACGATTGTGGTTTGAAAGACCTTTACTTGCAATTGTAATTTTAACTGCCTAATAAAACGCTGACTTTGTAATCCTTGTGCTGCAAAGGTATGTCCAAGCTTCAAAAATAGGATGGGAAAGATTAAAGGTTCTCTCCAACTCTGTGTAACCTGTGTAGCAGAAGAGCAGCTCACATTTCACAGGCAATAACCTGTGCATTTGCTATTAAAAAAAAAAGGAAAAAAAAAAAAAAAAGAACAACATAGGGAAATGCCTGAGGCAGAAGTTGAAACTGATTGGGCAAAATAGAAGAACAAGAGCCCTTGAAATTAAACAAAAGCAAATTCATTCTGTTGACAGATGTTGATTACATCAAAGCCTTGAAAGAACTTTTTTTTCTGCTTCTTTTTTTTTCCTTTTTTGCAACTAATATCTCCACGTTTTCTGTACATTAAGGATATAACGTATCTTAATCAACATAATCCAACACATAATAATTTTTGAATTTGGTAAAAGTATATTGTAACGAGGTCTTAACGACAGGCTTCTCCAAACAAGAGTGTATTCACATGGTCATGTCTGCATACCCGTGCTGGTCACGCCATCATCAGCCCCTTACTTCCAGGGGTTAACTGCTCTGGCAGCCAAATAAAATACAGAGAGCGCTGTGTAATTATGGAGACAGTCAAAGGGCAGACTCTATTTTGAAATCTATTTGCACAGACAAGGTCTTCCAATTTCGCTTACAGGAAACAAGCTGGTAAAGGGGGTCTCCTCCTCTCCAGATGCTTTCCACACGTTTTTCCCACATCAGGAAATCATGGACATGGACACCATGCAGCACTGTTTCCTGGATTGCAGGACTATGTCATTACAAGAAGAGCAAGTCCATGCTTGTGAGAAATATTTCCTCCTAATTGCCCATATTAGGGGAGAGCAAAACCCACAAGGACTACTGAAAATGCAACTAGCAGCAATTTGTAAACAGGACGCAGCCACAGCTGTCATGATGGTACTGGAAAAGAGAAAACAGGAATGAAAGGGTAAAAACACTCTGTTTTTAATAGCATGATTGGGGAAATGAAATATTCATCAGGATAGATGTGACTTCGGTTATAACAGCAACGCATTGGTGAAAACCTAGACAACAGCATGCTTATGACTGTACCCTGATACAGCGAAACACAGGCCAGTACCTTGCAAACATTATATTCTAATTGACATTGTTTCATTTAATTATTGAAATTAACTGGAAATTAACAACAGAAATTGTTTAGTTAATAAAGGCATCAACAGAATTGCTGTTCTTGTTACTCTCATAAGAGGCAATAAAGCAAAGCAATGGCCAAATGCTGACTGACTCCAAGGGAACAGAGTCAGCCCCTCTGCGACCCCACTGGGACTCCTCCACGACACTGAAAAAAGTCAAGTTTGGTCCTCAGGACCAGTTATGCTCCTCGCTAATTACAGTTTTGCCCTTACTTCACAGAGAGCGGAACCAGGCAATTTGTTTGCCATATGCCAATACAAATGAGGTTTTTAATTGGGTGTAAATTTATAAAAACTATATGGAAATACATTCTTGTTTGGCTTTACTTATTACGCCTCTGTCTAGACCAGCACACTAAAATGATGAATCAGTACTTTCTGGAATAGTGCTGTTCTTCTAATTCATTATTCAGTCAAACTTAGGGCCAACAAAATAGCTGTTCTACAAGTTGGTAAACTGGGAAACCACAGAGAATCAGAACTCTTCTATTTACAGGAAGGATGACAGCCTAAGGGTACTTCATCCCAATAATAACAACATTCAAGTAACAGTGCCCAGGTCATGACAAGCCATGACCCTCCCCATAGCTCCTTCAGGAAGCTGGCTCGATGCCACCTTTTATTAGCAGCAACCAACAGTGCAACTTTAACAAACAAGAAGAAAAGAAAAAAATAATTTTGTATCCTTAAAAACCCTTTTGACCGGCTGAACAGTTGTAGATATATACACAGATATACATATATATACACAGAGTCACACCAAGACAGTACTCTCCCATTTTATTATAGGATTTAAAAAATACAGAGTACAATCTAACTATATCTGAATGATTTTCATTCAGATATCAAATGAAATTAATTGTCTATTACAGAAAATGGTACTGGGCTGTACAGGCTTAACTTTGGGAACACAACATTGCAGTTCTCCAATAGAGCCTTCCATCCTAGCATTATTTCTACTACATTTTCTCTACCCAACAGAGTAACACAAGTAGAAAATAAAAAAAAAGACACTGTTGCATAAAGCAGGATCACAGCAAATGAAACAAGTTAGGTACAAAAGCTGGAGAAAACAATATTAAGAGTTTCACACACAGTTAATATCAGGGGAATTTAGGCTCAAATCACAGCATCTGGCAAGTTTCAACTTCTGTGACTAGCAGGAGAAACATTCCTCTTATGTTACTGCATTCCTATATTGAGTAAATTAATTATCATAAAGTGAATAAATTAGAGCAGGAAACATATCTGCTCAGGTTTGCATATTTAAATACGTCTTTTAATCACTTTCTATCTGTCTTCAGTTTTTAAAAGATCAGAGGAATTACTTTCTCTTGAAAGACTGGTTATTGTGTCATTATTTTGATTTTGTAGGGAAGTAACAACTGTTGGAACAAGTTATTCGGTTTAAAAAATAGCAGTTGTTTCAGATTAAAATAATAAGCTATTCAAATAGTTCTTACACGCACAATACCGAATCTTGTTGTTAATATGCACCCACCCACAGCTTTAACATTCATTGAATCCTACTGGGATAAAATCTTTTCAGGTGCTCTGTGAAACAACTGTTTTTCAACTGGCATGTTTATGTCCTATACGCATGCCCGATACAGTATTAAATGTTAAAAATAAATCCTACTTTAACCTCTTAAATTTCCACCTGAAGTGGAAAAAAACCCTGTCCGAATCACCACAAAAAAAAGTTTCCCACTGAAACCTTTTCAGTGGGTAAGCAAGGCAGCTGAAACAAGAGTAATCTTTGCATAGAAAATTTAGGAGTGCTCCTGAACATCGTATCGGGGTTTCCTGCGTAGCCTGAGTCGCAGGAAGAGAAGGGGAAGTCAGGAGTCTTTTCCCTGCACAAAATATAAGACCCAGTGCAATAATGATTTTCAATACAACTGCAGCCAAATCTCTAAGGTTACAAGATGATTTCTGAATCGTAAGCCAGTCTTATCTCAAAATTTAAAAAGATGTGTACACTTCTAGAAATTTTGGGATGAATACCTTATTTTATTAGATAAGATTACATTACTCCTCATTTGGAAAAATGACAGCTAGCAGTGTTTTTTGCCTTATATTAAATGTTATTAGTCACTTGTATTGTCCTGTTTTCACATGAAAACACAAGTAACATTAGGACAGTGAGTCTTTACTTAGAAAACATGTACTTGCCCTTGGCTAGAGTGAAGAGTGCGAGGTGGGGAATTACATCCTATAACCCAGACTTCAAAATATATAAGTAGAGAGGTGTAAGAGTTTACAGCTGTTTCTATTAAACTCCTATGGTGGTGGTGGTAGAAATAGGCTCTTACATTTTTTTCCCCAAGAAGATGATCTGCACAAGGAAGATGATCCAATCAAGAGCTTGCTGCAGATAACTTGTAGCATCCTTATTAAAACATTTATTTTTAAACCTGTCAGTCATTAGTATGTGCTATTAATGCATAACTTGGAAGCTTATTCATAAATACGTGACATTTGGGTTACTGAATGAATTATAATGATAGGATTATGGATCCAATTTGGAAAAGTATGATATAATTTTTGGGAGCTGTTTTAATTTTTTTTTTTAAATACCTTTCACTTATCTCCTTGCTTAACATTTACAAAGACCTCTTTCTTATCATAAAAGTCCCTGTTTATCAAACAGTGATACAGGAAGAAGTTGTTTACATTTTCAGAAGTACCAACATACATCACTTATGACAAAAAAAACAAGCACTCCATAAGAAATGCTCAATCACTGTCAATCATATGCACTAAAATATACATAAACCAAAGCATGTGGTGTGAACTATATTAGATTCAAACTGAACAGAGAATTACAACTACAACAAACAAAAAACAAATAATTACAAGTGACTCAGAAGCCTATTTACACATCTCACCAAACTGCTGGAAAGGTAGGTAACCATAGAAACCCGACAGTCTAAATTCAGTACTTTAAAATTTGCATTTAGTTCAAAATGCTGAAAATGATGTTTCTATTTGACGAAATCCATATTTTTAAAGGCTTCAGTTTTTGCCTTGGTACATAAATAAATGCTTAAAATTACTTCATCTCTTGGTTACTAGTAATTTGCCTTTTAGATTTTATTTTATCCAAGTAAAGATTACAGTTTACTCTTTGTAATATAAAATGTTAATACATGTTAATACTGCAAATTAATATTTCTAACATTTCTTTAATGACTGAAATTAAATAATGATATAAAACACACACTCCTGCACTTAATATTAAATGTTTTGCATATAGACTTTTCTAAGCTGCACACCAGCAAAAAAAAAAAGATTACTCAAATTAACTGTTAAAGCTGAAATGCTAATAACCTTTTCAACTTATAGCTCTTTTCCAGTGACAATTACAATTTGCATGGCTTAAAATTTAATACTATGATTAGTACTAATGTCCTATATTTTACTTCATAATCTAAATGAGTAAAATATTATTTTTGTAGTTCACTGGCTCTTATACTTAGGCTGTAATGTTCAGTGTGTATTTCATTATGCAGATGAGCAATGGATGTCGTCTAACATGATTTAAATGGGTCAACAGTATTTTCCTATTCACATTAATCATCCAGACAGCCACAAAAAAAAAAGAAAAAAAGAAAAAAAGAAGGGCCTTGAAAACTAACCTAGGAAATCTCTTTTCATCACCGACTCTTCCCACTAGTCAAACAGCAGCAGACACATGCTGCGGGAGAGGGGAGCCTGGCAAAGCGGGGAGCCCAGGCTGGGCGCTGCTCCTCTGGCTGGTGCGCAGCTCCTGCCGCAGCCGGGGCCGGCAGCGCTCCCCGGGCTGCCCGCGGCCCCGTGCCAAGAATGATTCTCCTCCCGCCAAGTTCAATGGGAGCTGTGTGTTGACAAACTGAGCAAATTTGAATCGGCAAAATTCACTCTTGGCACGGGGACACGCAGAGGCGCTGAATGCGAGGGCACGCTGCCCGCCGACGCCGGGCTGGCAGCCGGGCTGTTCCTGCCTAAATACACTTGCCGGAAAACTCCCACTAAAGTCAGAGGACACTGGATCCGGCCGTTTATTGCCAATTGTTTATAAAACACATCAAAATTAAGGGCTCTATTCTCAAGCCATGTAACCATCATCTACGGCCCGTTTCATGTATGGCATATTGCAAATGGTAATTTATAAACATAGCGCTTCTGTGGAAAGGGAAGCTGTTCTAATAAATGCTTAAGGGGAAGAAAGTAAGTACAGAACAGGCAGAAAGCAACAGGATAATCAAGTACCAACCACTCAGACTCATTTATTCAATAAATACATTATTAGGATTAAAAAAACCCCCAGCTGTCAAGATCACCTCAAACACAGAAGTACTGCCATGGCACAAAATCTCTATCAATGCAAAGATGACACGTTTGATTATAGTACGGTGTAACAGGGCTGGCAGAGCTTGCCTGGGAAACCCAACGCTGTTCATACCATGGGACAGATCCTGTTCTACAACACAGGGAGGTCTGAGCTTCTAGGAGATGGGATGCATAGGCTGCAAGGCAATGGGCAGGCAGGTGATGGGATTCCTTATCTCCTCCCTTATTGCTCTGGTCATCCAGTGATGGATAGTTAAGCTTTACCAGTGACTGCTCTCTGCATCCATCCTTATTTAGACACACTGACAACAGCACAGCCATTGATGTTTCAGTTTATTTTCTAGTAGTAAACTTAAACCCCTGAAACTGGTTTTGGTTACCATTGAAAGTAGCTGTTATTTGCTAAATAGCTGTCAGTGATACAGCACACGTAACATCTCTTCTCCATAAATTATGCTGGCCGCTCACTTGCCAACAGAATCCCAAATTA